GAATGCAATGGGTCTGCAAACTCTGTTTCTTTTCCCTTGTTAGTGACACCTACAAATTCAACTGCTAAGTGTTTTAATTAGCCATTGGCACATTGTTTTAGCAGAAGCTCCCAGGACCAAGTCTTGGTATGGTTGGTGTGAACCAGAGCTCAGTGCTCAGCTCCTCTTTGCTGCCCGTTGGTTCCCGTTTCAGCCCTGCTGCCCCCAGCCCACGCTCCACACCCCGACACGGGGTCATCCCCTTCAGCATGACCCCTCTTCCCAAAGGAGGACCCTCACCCCGGCTCCTCCAGCCCTTCCCCTCAGCCCGTGTTTTCCTGCACCATGAGCCAGGTAGGTTCTTTGGTGCCTTTTGCTTGCTTGGAAGCTCGCTCTCCATGGGTAGATTTTCCAGACTGGGTAGATTTGCTGTTGTGTTGGGTTTGTGTGGGTGGGTGGGGCTGGTGTTGGTAGTTGGGGAAGGGGTTACAGTGATGGCCCCATGAGAAACTTTGCAAAGTTCCTCTGGCTCCAAGGTGGATCCACCTCCAGCCCAGGCTGCGCTAGTTAGTGACAGGGAAATGTCTCTTGTCTCTTCAGATCCATAGTTAGGGGGGAAGAACTGGTTTGAAAAGAAAAAGGAGGAGAGAACCATCAGGAGAGACCATTGACTTGACCAAAAAAAGACCATCGGCCTGAAAAACAGAGAGAACATCATTGCCATGAGGAAGGAGGAGGAGGGGGAAGACAGAGAACTTCAGACACCAAGATCAGCATGGAGAAGAGTAGGAGAAGGTCAATGAAGTTCCTGGCAGCCCATGGAAATTCAATGGTGGAGCAGATATCCATGTGTAGACCATGGATGACTCCATGCTGTGCCAGAGGGCAGGTGTGACTGAATTGGGACCCCAGAGATGCTCAAAGCCAGAGCAGGGTGAGGAGATGTGCTGGACTGGAGACCCATCTGCAGCCCCTGGATGTTCCCAAGCCAGAGCTGGGAGCTGAGCCCCAAGAGGTCCATGGCTCCGTGGGAAGCTCGTGTTGGAACACTTTGTTCATGGACTTCCATGCTGGTAAGAGCAGCAGAGGTGACCTGACTGAACCCCCATTCCCTGTCCCCTGTGCCACTGGAGGGGGGAGAAGGTAGAGAAATGGGGAGCAAAGTGATTTGAGCTCAGGAAGAAGGGAGGGGTTGGAGAAGGTGTTGGCAGATGTGGTTGTTGTGTCCCATTGCATGGCTTAGATGAATGGTAATGAATTAAATTGAGTTTTCTTCCCCAAGTGGAGTCTGTGTTGCCCGTGCCCATCCCTGGTGAGTGAGCCCTCCCTGTCCCCATCCCAACCCACCAGCCCTTTGGTGTGTTTCTCTCCCCATCTCACCCAGTTGGGATGGAGTAATGCCCCCATGGTATGAGCTGTGGGTGACACCACCACAGCTGTGTATTGCCCCAAGAAATGCCAACCTTCCCCACCCCATTCCCCCCACATTGACTGACCATGGGGGCAGCACCCCCTGATGCTCTTCATGAGCTGCTGAGGGTGAGAAGAAGGGAAGTGACAGCAGAAACCATCAGTACCAAGAGCTCGTTAGTTTATTGCTTAAGCCCGGAGACACTTTCAGAATATCAGTGCAAAGTTGAAATGAAAAAAAACCCCAAATAATTAAAAAATAAAATGAAGACACCCAGATCCGTGATAACGTGAATATATTAACTCTGTCGTAACACAAATATCTTAAATAGAGGGAAGAACAATAAATTACGAATCAGCACACGTCCCTTTGTTGTGGTGGCAAGGAGATCGGGCAGGAAGAGTTCCCTGAGGATGAGGTAGCAGTGTTTTAAATATTCCAGAGAATTCCTGGGATAGAAGTTTAAAATGAGACACTGATTCTGAACACTGGCTTCTCCTTTTTGTTTTTTGGTCTTTCAACAGCCAGGACGTTTTTGGTCTTGAATCTATAGATTACGCAGTATAAAAATAAGTTATTTAAATAAAATATAATAATAAATAAACTCTAGAAGTAGGATGCTGATGAGCACCCAGAATTATCCTACAGACTCTCCTGGGCTTCTCCATGAATAACTCACGAGCCCAGCGAGGATACAAGAGGCACATCAAAGGTGACGTCAACAACGCTCCCTCCCCTCCCGGCTCCATCCCCCTCCGCTGCTGTAGTCACTCGTTAGTGAAAAATGCATCATTTCAACCCAGATTTTGATCTCTTTAGGAAGAGGAGATGATTATGAAGAAGCCTCCCTTCATTAAGAGGAACAGGAAGCAGATAATTCGGTTTTGGTTTTGGTAGGTGCTGCTGGAGGAGGTGAGTGAGATACGAGCTCAGCATCCTCGTCTGCCCCATCCAAGCATGATGCTCAGCTCTTCCCAGCCTGGCAAACCATCCCACAAACCTTCCCAGGGGTCACAGCCCTCCTGGGAGGGTCACATCCATCCTTCCTGAGGAGTCACATCCCTCCCGAGGGGTTGCATCCATCTCACGGGGTTGCATCCATCCCTCCCAAGGGGTCACATCCTTCCCAAGGTCATCACATCCCACCTCATGCTGGCTGGAAGAGCCACGGGGCTGCGAGGGAGAGCTCAGAGCAGCTTCATACAGACCAGACCTCTCCTGCAGAGGTTGAGTCATGTCTAAAGCACACAGCACTTGGATGGAAAGCTTGGGAGATGCCAGGCACCTGCTGGGAAGGGGACATTCCCCGTGGTGACTGAGTGATCCCGGGTGCCTGGCGTACCCGCTGGGATTTGCAGTTGGGTTGAGTTGAGTTGGGTTGGGGTGGGGTGGGGTGGGTTGAGGAGGGCTGGGGCAGAGCTGAGGAAGTGCATGCAACGAGGAGGAAAAAAAACTCTGCAAAACCTATGTGAAGAGCTGCTGGCAGTGAGGTCCCTGGTCTGGGGGCCGGCGGCGGTGGCTTTGCCGGAGCCGCGCCCGTCTCACTGCGCCG